ATTACTCCTTTTTTTTGTAATTATCAATAAAACAACTATGCCAGAACCACCGAGTTCATAGAGACTTATGTTTATTTCTCATGAAATTTCACCTGACTGATTTTGAACCTTTATAAAGCCAAAGGTATCCTTGGATCTCAGTTCTGTCATTATTTGGTATAATACATCTTCATTTAAGACAGAGTCAAAGTTGATTAGGACAGGGCTAGAGACACAATTGTGGAAGACTGCTGTCTCTTTCTCTGGGTAATCACCAATCCATAATCAACACACTCTGGTTGCCCACGTGTATACTATAATTTGTCTTTCATATCTGGGTCTGAATATGCAGATCAAAAACATTTGAGAAAAATAACTATCTGTACTGAACATGTACAAAAGTTTTCCTCATCACTGTTTCCTAAACAATGCAGTATAACAACTATTTATATAGCATCTACTTTGTATGAGGTATTATAAGTCATTTGGAGATGATTTAAAATATACAAAAGAATGGACGTAGGTTCTATGTAAATATTATGCCATTTTATATAAGGGACTTGAGCCTCACAGATTTGGGACTATCTACAGGGAGTCCTGGAACCAATCCCCTATGGATCTTTAGGGACAACTGTATAGGGTGCTGAGGACAAATCTACCCAGGTGTGTTTTTGTTCATGACCTCTAGACATTCTGCATGTAAGGCACTCACTTTGTCTACCAATGCTAGCTATTCTACAATGAAATGGATTGATCTGGGGACAAGAGTCTTGGGTTTAAGGCAGAAATCCATTATCTCGTGAGCTTGGCTGTCATCATGAAAGGATATTAAGAAGAGTTAAAGAAGAGTTATAAGATAAACTGTGATCATTCCTTGGGGTTAACAGGAAGAACTTCTGGCTAGAAATCATCCATTGAATGAAATAAGAATGATGAGCTGTACATGTTGCTTGGGGGGGGCAGGTAGGCACAAATGCTCATCAGACAGCTTCTAACAGAACATTTCTAACCAAGAGAGACAGAGTCTCTGAGAAACTCCCTTCTTCTAGAGATTACAGCAGAGTTTGGGAGGGAAAAGGTTTTAAATATACATTTTTTTTATGTTTGATGACAATGGCTATATTTACATCTTCAATCTAATGAAAAATAGTGATGGAAGTTATATTTTTGCCAGTAAAGACTAAATTTCCTAAGGAGATATTTGTGTATACATTTTTAAAAGACCTGCCCAGTTCCCTGGAAGAAACACTAGGTGCTACTGAGGATATTTGCTGCTAAGGATACAAGTGTGCCATCTAGTGGTGACTCCTGTGAACTGAAGGCATTAAATCCTAGTTTGGGTTGTTTGTAAAACAAGTTCCTTAAGTCCTAAACTATCATGGTGCGCGCGC